CCTTTAAATCTGTGGTTCTGAACCTGGGGTCCCTGAGGGGGTTATAGGGCAGAAGAAATGGCCAATCAATCAAACTGGGGGTCCTTGGCACCAAAAATGTTGAGAATCACTGCCTTAAAGAATCCCTGAAAACTCATCCAGAATCCCTGGACAGGCTGAAAACTCCTGCAACTTATTTAAAAAGGCCTGGAATCAGTTTAAGGATCCCTGGATCCAGAAAGACTGGAAATGGAATCCATTCAAGGATCCCTGCAAACATAAAAAGGTCCCCGGACCCTCACTGAATTCCTTCAGTAATGCCTGGAATCCTTTCAAGGATTCATGGAAACCTGTCGAGGATTCCTGGATTCCCTCAGAGACGCTTTTTGCCTGGAATCTCCTTAAGGACCCCTGAACCCCTTCAAATATCCCTGCATCTTTTTCAATGATTCTCAAACCTTTTTTAAAGAACCTGAAAAGTTCTTAAAAAATATCAAGACCCCTGCAAAGACCACTTATAACACAATAAGGTCTGGAATCCCTGAAAACCACCTTGAGGATGTCCAGACCCCTGTTAAGACTGAAACTCGTCCAATAATGCTCAGAACCCCTTGATGAATTCCTAGAAGCTCCTCAAAGATCAATAACCTGACTGTGCCAGAGGGTTTGTTACACAGAACCATCTGTGATTGGTTGCCGTTGTAAACTGTCTGGAAAAGGGCAGGCACTTTCAAGCTATACTCAGCAGGTGATTGGACGAAGCGTCTGTCTATCACAGGTATACTTCAACAAACCATAGATAATATAATTAAACTCTTATTGAAGCCAGTTAGAAAAATAATACGTTTTCCATTGAGAAAAGCCTTCAGTGACTCTCTTTGCTCTTTAAATTAAGAAATATTTTCTAGTTGTGATATAAGTAATGTGAGCAGCATTTACTCCAACCGCTTTAGCTGCTGACATTGTTGTTTTTGAACACACACACCTAGTATTGAACAATGCCAGAAGCTCATGCCCTAACCGCCAGTAGCTCCTCATTGGTCTGAACGGCTGTGATTGGACACAAGCTCACAGCCCGAAGCCTCGCATCCATTGTTGCATCATTTACAAAGTCCAGCTGCCTCGCAAGGTTGAAGGATCATTTCAAATCCCCTTGAAAGTCGCTCTAGACTGCCTGGA